TCGTGAACTGACTAGATGATCTAAAATTATCATATGTGACCTCTATAAATTTTTGGAATTATTATTGTTATTATTTATATTACAGTTGTTACAGCATCTACAGGCCCCATTGCTCAGGTCCCATTGTGCTAGGCACTATATAATGATAGACCATCCCTACCTCAAAGGGCGCAGTGTCCAAAAAGACAAGACAGATTATGGGTTGGGGGAAAGGAAATATTATTATCCCCATTTTTCAAATTAGGAACTGATGCAAGAGAAATTAACAGCAAAACTTTCAAAAGTGCCTATGAGGCTTAGGAGCCTAAATCCCATTTTCAAAAGTTCCACGTGGTACAATTTTCAAAAAATTGCCCACTGACTTTTCCAAGTTCAGACAGGGACTGTGGCAGTGCTGGGAAATTAATTCATTTTGCTGCCTTAACTGTCTTTTCTCTGGCAATTAAACCCCTTGCTCCATGTTTATACATTTATGTATTTCAAAGTAGTCTCAATACATACATCTCTATAGTAATTGTTTTAATCACTTTTAAGATAATTAGAATTGCAGTATCACAAACAAGTTAGCATATATATAGAAATATAACATATCCTGTTTAGCCAAAAAAAACCAACCCCACATTACTCTGTAATAAATAATAAATCAGATAAAATCCCTTAATCCTGCTGCAAACCCTTCTCCCTGAAATGTTTCTATTTTTTTTTGGTATTAATTGAGCTAAAATGTTAAGCCCAGGACTATTGATGACTGTGTCATATACTAAAAATACATGCCAGGCAGTACAAACAAAAATAAATGCGGTGACTTCCTCAAAAGGGGAAAAATTAACTACCGCCGCAGATTTCAGCCCTTGGCACAGAAATCTTCTCATTCCTCCCTAAGACCTGAAAAATGAGATGGGCTTAGGAGCGTGTCTTGAAAATCAGCAGATTTGGACAATAAGCGAGTCCTAGATGTTAAAGTCCCTCATGAAGAGAGACATGCCAATGGCTGCATTCCTTTAAAACTAAAAGGAGAACCAGCTCAAGTACCTTTACAGACCAGTAGGGCTTCCTAGGTTAAAACCAAAACCTGGGGCTGTACCATGACTTAGAAAGGTTGTCTTTGAGAGAACAGGGTCCCAGAATATTGAAAGGGGACCTTTTGAGGTCCCTTCCAGTTCTAGTATTCTATTATAAGGTTTATAGATTGCCTTGCCTTGAATTCACATATAAAGAAGTAGGCAGGGCAGATAACTGAGCACAGATGTTATGTGCTCATAGCAGCTCATTGTGCTCAAGAGCTGAATTTTTACATTATTATCTTCCTGATGGCTGAAGTTCTTCCCAACAGTAGCGAGAAGCAGAGTTTGTTGTGGTCCCCATTAGGTAAAGACTTTTATAACTTTCAGGCCAACCTTAAATGGACAAAGTAATGAATGCTGTAACTGCCAGCTACAGGACCAGGATGGGCAATCGAGCTCAGGTTATGTCTAGACTGCAGGCTTCTTTCAGAAGAAGCTTTTTCAGAAGAGATCTTAAGATAGCATCCACACTGAATGGACGCTATCTCACAGCAAAAGCTCGTCGAAAAAGCGATCTGCTTTTTCGAAAGATAGCATCCACACTGAATGGACGCTATCTCACATTTAAACTGTGATTACTATGGATGGAGTGGCCACCAGGGCACCTGTACATTTTCCTCTTTCCTCTTCTTTTGAAAGGACTCCCTCTTTCCCATCCATATGATCTTTTTGGAAAAAGGCTTCTTCCTCATAGAAAGAGGTTTACTAACGTTGGAAAAATCCCTCTGTTCTTTCGATTTTTTTCTCCGAAAGAACGCTGTTGCAGTGTGGACATAAGTGAAGTTTTTTTAAAAAAATGCCCGTTTTGCTGAAAAAACTTTGCGGTGTAGACATACCCTTAGAGACTTGATGATACTGGCAATAACTTGTTGAAAAAAAAGGCATGAATTTACTGAATTCACCACCTGAAATTTCAGAATTCATACCCCCAATGAAATTTCAAAATTCAAACAATTTTGATAACCTCTGATGTTACTCTCTCAATAAAAGGTGCACTCACAACATCCATCCATCCAAATATATTGAGTATAGTATCATTTTTGTCTTACCTGAGTTGAGTTTATGCCAGTCTGCCTTATCAGTATTCCCACCTCCGTCAGCCGGGGGGGGTGTGTGTGGGAAATAGTAAACAGATTTTTTAAAAGCTGAGATTTAGATTCAAGTGTTATTCCCCATATGGATGCACATGGAAGCCCAACACTTCCCTGTCTCTCTTGGTGGCTGCGTAGGCATGTAGAATAGACAGGATGAAAAGATGACACTGTGCAGAACCCCACATGACAAGCCTTTGCAGGGAAGTAAGCAAGCAAGAACCCACTGTGACCTCAGGGGCCTCTGGAGCAGGAATTAACCAAAAGACTGCAGGAACCTCAACAAAACTTCACACTTGGTAGGCTGCTGGTTGAACTAACAAAACCAGCAGCCTGTGGTTGATGATTTACTTCTGTAAGATATGATATGTACCCATTGCTAGAGGTAAATTAACAGTCACATACTAGACTACTGCTGCATTCTGTACCCTGTACTGCACCACTGGGAGTTCTTCAGTGATAGTTGTCAGTAAGGTAGGTTGAAGACGACAAGGGATGAGTTTGATTCCCATCCCCAATTTCCACAGGTTATCTAAACCCCTTTGCTCTTGAAGGAGGCCAGGGTCAGGATTTACAGAGACAAGATGCACAAGTGATTGGGGCAACTAGCCTATGATTTGGGAGACCTGAATTCAAATTTCTGCTCTGTCACAGACTTCCTCTGTGACTTTGGGCTTAGTTACTCTCTGTGTCATTTCCCCATTGTACAATGGGAATAAAGCACTTCCCTGCCTCACAGGAGAGCTGAGAGAATAGATCAATTAAAGATTGGTTGGGATTATAATGGGGGCCATATAAACATCTTGGATTAACTAGATTTACAAAGTATTGGAGCAAAAAGCAAAGCAAACATGCGATTGGGTAACTGAGGCAGAGAGAGTGGGAAGACAGAGTCATAGCAAAGGTTCTAGAATTTTCCTGCCACTACCTGGTTCTCCAGTTTCTGAAGGAAAAGTGAGGCAGCGCCCTGCAGGCCCTTATTCTCTGTCATCCCACCACTTGCCCGTGCACTTCTTAGTCTGCTGCCAGGAGATGTCAGCATGTCTGTGGGGAGTAGTGATGACAGTGGGTCGTGGATGTTGAAACTTGGCCTTTGGTCATCTGCCTCACTGCAAAGCTGAGAGAGAGCCCCTTATCGTGCCATCCTTATCACGAACATATTACGTAACTTCATGTGTTGAAACAAAACCAGCATTTTGTTGCAACCACAAAGGTCAACAGAAGAAATGTGCCTGTTAGGATTTATTTTAAAGCTATTACAAGAAAGGATGATACGGAAGAGAGGCAAACAACTCTTTAAGAAATCTAATTCTAAATTATTTTTCGCGTTTATTGCCTTTTCATTTTCCTCATTTATAACGTTTTAATTAGCGAGTAAATATTTGTGCGGGTGATGTCAAGCACTGACTGTGCTAGGTGCCTGAATCTGTCTATTTATTCTCAGTTTATTTATCTTTGTGCAGGGTTTACTGCTTTGATGTGAGGTGCAGCCACATTGGTCTGCCAGTGACATCAGTGGGCTGGAGAAAATGTTCTCTAGGGAGGTGAAAGGTAATTCAGGCTTAAGTTTAACTTGGTCCTGATTCTCTGTCAGCAGTGACTGCTAGACTACACACCATCTGGGCGGTGATTTTTATTACCTGACCACTTATCCCTTAAGAAGTTATCTGAGAAGCCCAAACATAACTGTGTGGCTCAGGACAGTGTCAATAACTACAGAATAAACATAAAAATGCATTTAGAACACACTGAAAATCAGAGTGAGTGGCACTGTGTGAAAGTAAACCCTTCTATAAAACTCCTATAAATCATGTGGGTCTGATATACAATCCAGAAATGTATTTAGTGTTTCTATTTGTGGATTGCTTAGTTGGGAACGAGGCCAGACAACTCAGCAGCTTTCATGTTAAGGACACTATACAAACATTTAATGTGAGTAAGACTTCCTAAAGAGGTGGCAGGAAAAGGCTATATGAGGACAGCATATATGTGAGCAGGAAGTAGAAGCAAACTGAGTGCAGGGGACACAGGTAAGAACAAAGTCTATAAAAAATAATAGGGGCTCTTTTCTGAGGCAGTTTCCACATCAATCAATCCAGTGTCTTCTGTTTAGCCCTTATTCTGAGAAGACTTAGCATTCCCTTATTTTGAGAATGCAAGTTAACTCTGCAGAGTTATATATTCTGTATATTAATATTCTGCAGAGTTAACTTGCATTCTCAACACTGAACTTACTCCTCAGATGTTAGCTTTGCTTGAGTGAGAGCAAAATTCCACTCAAACCTCACAGTAGGGCTGTGTTAGCCAATGACGAGTTGTGCTAATGTAAGCTGTAGCCTAGATCCCCCAATAGGCCAGCCAACCTGAGTGAAAAGCACCATATGATCAAATTAAAAGATTTTTCATGTGGATGGGACTTGAATTAGTGGCAACATTTGAATTGTAACTGCAGTGAAGACCAGCTCTTCATCACATGATTAATTTTAAACATGAGTAGTGAAGTCAATGGGATTACACAATGCTTAAATCATTGCAGGATTGGTACCTCACTTCCTTCAAATCCTTCCTGAAACCTGCTGTTTCAAGGACTACTTCCTTCACATGCCACTTCATCAACAAACTCTACATTCCCTCTTTTCCTAAATTTTCATTGATTTGTCTCGTCTTTAATATTTTTAGTTTTAACTGCACACTAGCAGATGCATTTTGCACAAATTAGATCAGGGAATCACATTAGTAATTTATTACTGCTACATGGGACACCAATCAAAGTCATACATAAATCTGGTTAAAACTTAGAGAAGCAATCTGCTTTCAGGATATGAGCAACATCTGAGGAGACATAATAGTGCTAAAGATCAAGGAAGTCTGCTGTTAAACACTGTCAGCAATGTTAACAAAATTACCAGTGAAGAAGAAGAAATGAATCCACGATGAATAATAATGCACTATATCAGGTAAGTCAGAGCCATTGTCTCTGCAGTAATTAACTGCTCAGATGATATGTTCTGGTTACATTACCAGAACATAGCTATGAACATGTACTGATTACACTTGCTTTCAGATAGAACAGAAATTGAACTGCTGTTCGGTGCCATAGGTAAATTAAATGTACTAGTCAGTCAGTTGTAAAAATCCAATTTTAAAGTGAATCCATAGTGTCACTATAATATTAGTGTGTTGACAGTGTTTCAGGAGCTAATTTTGCAAAAAAGTTATTGCCACTTAGTGCCCACTCACCCTTTCTTTGGGAAACCCATGGGAAGGGGGCTTGTAGAGAGGAGGCTTTTCTCAGGGTGTTTTCTCCCCAGTTGTTCTGTTCAGGAGAGCTGTGAACTAGGATTTGTTTCTCCTCAATATGGAAAAAGTTGTTATATTGGCCTCCGAATATGTATCCCTGCTCTGCAAGGATCCCAGGGAATCAGTCATAAACCAGGCCATCTGTTCAGAGGAAAGGGAGAAGCCCTGAAGAAATACCTTTAAAGGAAATCAAGGAAGAAGGGCAAAATTAATACAGCTTGGCTACGTCTAGACTGGCATGATTTTCCGCAAATGCTTTTAACGGAAAAGTTTTTCCGTTAAAAGCATTTGCAGAAAAGAGTGTCTAGATTGGCACAGACGCTTTTCCACAAAAGCACTTTTTGCGGAAAAGCGTCCGTGCCAATCTAGACGCGGTTTTGCGCAGGAAAGCCCCGATCGCCATTTTCGCGATCGGGGCTTTTTTGCGCAAAACAATACCGCGTTGTCTACACTGGCCCTCTTGCGCAAAAGCATTTGTGCAAGAGGGCTTTTGCCCGAACAGGATTAGCATAGTATTTCTGCAAGAACACTGACAATCTTACATGAGATCGTCAGTGTTCTTGCGGAAATTCAAGCAGCCAGTGTAGACAGCTGGCAAGTTTTTCTGCAAAAGCAGAAAAAACTTGCCAGTCTAGATGCAGCTCTTGGGTCTATATTATCATGCCAAAATGAACTCCGTAGAGGAGGATACTGCAGGGGTCACTCCAAGACAGCCCTCAGTGCAGGGACTGCAAAGACTCCACCAAGAGAAAGAAGCTTGGACTCAACTGGGGCTAATTCTCTTATCGGGGGAAATAAGCAGCAAGTATAAAAAGGAAGAGGAGGAGCCATTTACTTTCCACAGGGGTAGGCCTAGTTGTGAACCTAAGCCCCTGAGATGATAGGCAGCTGTAGCATCCCTGTCTATCACAGTCCTTTTTTTGCTGTTATAGCAGGAGGGACAGTTGCTTTTCCTGCTTATGGGCCTGCCCTGGGCTCCTACACATTCATACATTCAAGCCTTTTAATTTCCATTTTTTAATGATTAAAGGTCTAGAAAACTTGACCAATGAGGGAAGACTAAAGAAATGGACTTGTTTAGTTTAGAAAAGAGAAGACTGAGAGGGGACATGATAGCAATTTTCAAGTATCTAAAAGGGTGTTACAAGGAGGAGGGAGAAAAAAAATTTTCCTTGGCCTCTGATGATAGGATAAGAAGCAATGGTATTAAACTACAGCAAGGGAGGCATAAGTTGGACATTAGAAAAAAAGTCCTGTCTGGGTGGTTAAACACTGGAATAAATTGCCTAGGGAGGTTGTCACTGGAGATATTTAAGGACAGATTGAATAAACATCCCTCAGGGATAATCTAGAATCAGTGGTTCCCAAACTTTTTGGCATCATGTCCCCTTTTTGATTTTTGAGAAACCCTCATGCTCCCCCCCCCAAAAAAAAAATAGCAGCAAAACTTGAGCAAAAAAAACCAGAACAGAAACTGACCAGGGCCGAAAAACAAAAATAGCAGCAAAACTTGAGCAAAAAAACAAAAACAAAACAGAAACTGACCAGGGCCGAAAAACAAAAATAGCAGCAAAACTTGGGGAGGAGGATTGATGGCGGGGCTGGGTCACTTTGTGCCCCCCCTGGAATTTCTTCATGACCCCCCCCAGGGGGGAGGATTGATGGGGGGGCTGGGTCACTTCATGCACCCCCTGGAATTTCTTCATGACCCCCCAGGGGAGCACGTCCCCCAGTTTGGGAACCCATGATCTAGATGATGCTTGGTGCTGCCATGGGGGCTGATGACTGGACTTGATGGGCTCTCGAGGTTCCTTCCAATCCTAATATTCTATTATTATTATTCCATTTTAAGGACAGATGACTGGTCCCTGCTCTGATGGGTTAATAATTTCAGTTCTGGGTGAAATCTTAGCTAATCTCTAGTAGTAAGTGTATTTGCTCCATCAGTTTACTCCTACTAATACAATGGGTCTCCTTGACAGTAAAGACCCTTTGATCACTCTGAAGATTAATCTTACCATGAAAGGGAACTGTAGCTATGCAGTCTGAGCTGCCCTTTGAAAATGAATGTTGTCACGCTGATAAGTTAATGCACACCGAAATCATGAATCTGCTGTATGCTATGAAGGGCCCTAGGACCAAGGAAGAGGGATAACTCAGTGCTTGAGTATTAGCCTGCTAAACTCAGGGTTGTGAGCTCAATCCTTGAGGGGGGCCATTTAGGAATTTGGGGCAAATCTGTCAGGGATGGTACTTGGCAGGGGTCTGGACTTAATGAACCTCTCAAGGTCTCTTTTAGCTTCATGAGATAGGTATAGCTCCATATAAAAATAACATTCCAACGTGAGTGTTTGTTCAGAACTTGGGTTTAGTTTGTAGCTTTATATGTAAAGAATTACATTATAGGGGCATTAGTGTGAAAGCACTGTTGTCTCATATGCAAAATAAAAAGGTAGTGTAGAAATTAAAGATGAAAAAGGCCATTCATTTTCTTCTCAATGCAGGATTGTGTCCTTTGTTGGTTTTGGAAGTGGGGTAAATTGGATGCATCAAATACAGGCAGCTCTCATAGCATCAGATGGCAAAAGGTTGGTCCATATCGCCTCTGAAGCAAGAGACCCATGATGGATTCAGTCTCTTGCTAGGCAATCAGCTACTGTACTACTCATGTGAGACTGAAACAGGAGTCATTTTACAATCTTAGGGCACTTGGAATGATGATGATTTTAGTCCTTTCAAACTTATCTTGTCATAGCACAATAGCCTCTGTACAGGCTGACATTTCCATGAAAGCAAGTAGGAAATGGCACAAGTAATTTAGAGAATCCACTACACTCAAATCCCCCAAACCTCCTTTTGCTGGTATAAAACTTAAAGCATGTGAGAACAGAAGTAAAAATGAAAGACTCATTAAATAAGCTTCTTTTTTTCAGACCGTAGAAGTATGGAGACATGTGGTCTACTAAGAAATATTGGGCAAGAACAGAAGTAAACATGAAAGACTCATTGAATAAGCTTCTTTTTTTCAGACCATAGAAGTATGGGGACATGTGGTCTACTAAGAAATATTGGGCTAAATTGTGCTTTGTGTGAAACAGACATTCATTGGGATCAGTAAATTGTAGAGTTCTCTTTGCACTGTTTCTTGAGAATTAATCGATGCAGCCTTAAAAGTGATTGTTAAGCACATTTTCACTGTTTGGTTCCCTACAGGCTGCTTGCTTCTTGAGAATTAATCTATGCAGCATTAAAAGTGATTGTTAAGCACATTTTCACTGTTTGGTTCCCTACAGGCTGCAAAGACAGTTAGGTGAAACTATGTTAACACAAATGGGTTGCAGGGAAAGGACACAAATTAAGAAAGAAGAGAGAGACCTTTGATTATGAACCACATCTAGAGAGACGACTAGAAAGAAGGAGTGAAGGTCTGGAGTTTCCGAATTTTGATCATATGGACAAAATGTCTCTTCACCAAGGCAGTCCATTTTTAGGCGAGAAGGAGTGAAGGTCTGGAGTTCCCGAATTTTGATCATACAGACAAAAAAGTCTCTTCACCAAGGCAGTCCATTTTTAGGCTGGAACAGAAGTGAGTACCTCTCCCCTCACCTCAACATTCTTGGTCCTTTCAGCAGAGCCTGGATCTATCTCCTGTACAGAACCCGCTACCTAGCTACATTAGGCACAACTGTGTAAAAATGTCAGTAGAGACCACGGTTCAATGCCAGGCCAGTGTAGAGAAAGAGACAGAAGCACCTTTTCCGTTCTTTTGCAAAACCTTTCAACAATCTTTCCCTGAGATTTACTAAGATTATGCTGCATGTGTCAGAGCAGTGTTCTCAGTGTCTGTATTAAGATTGAAAGCCTCCAAGTAAGCACTGTGTCTCATTTGATTGTATAGCATTACATATACTGTCACTCCATTACAAAAACGATGGGCCTGTTATATATTTTTAAGTGGGTCAATTTTTAATCCTAGAAACCTTTCAGTTACCTTGTATATTCACCAGAGGGTTGAAATTTAAATAAGTGTCTTGACATTTTCTTTACAAATCAAATATTAGGCTAAGATTGCTAAACTGTCAAGAAAAGGGTTTAAGATACTTAGGTTGAAATGGTTAAAATATCTTCACGTTTGAGCAGAGAAAAAGAAAGGGTGTGAAAACAAAGTTGAAAGGAGAGAACCTGAAAAGGAAAAAGAATGAAGAAAATAATTTTAAAAATGAGTGAAACAGCAATGTCAGTGAGAATGAATGAAGTGTGCATAAGCAGTTTAGAGAATGTAAATTAAAGTAAGGGAAAATAGAATTCAGAGAAATGGGGAACACAAAGTAAAATGATATAAAATAAAAACAATATTCCAGGATGCCAAGTGGTGGCGGAAGGAAACAATGTGAAGTTGGATGAAAATGAAACAGCGTAGAAGAAAATGAAAAGAAATAGTGCCAAAGAAAGTTACGATGAAATGAGGAAGATTTAGAATGGAAGAATGCCAGGGACACAAAATGCAAGTGATGGGGAAGAAAACGTAAGGAGACTGAGATCTCATTGAACTGAAATATAATGAGACACTAAAGCAAAAAATAAATACACAGACTGAGGTGCAATAAATACACGGACTAGTAAGAATGTGGGAAAGGAATAACATTTTAATATAGTAAATAATTTTAACTTCAATAGAAAGTGGATATTTTATACTCCCTTTTACAGAAAGAGACGAGAAGAGAAACAGAAAGAAACTGGAGAAGAAATAAAGGCTCTAAATTTCACTTTTCCTAGTAATCTATTTGTGATTGGCTTATATTTTTTACTGACAGAATAATATACATCTCTTTATTAACAATTACTCAAGGTGTAAAAAGCAGAAAAGAAATAGAGTATATGGTATTGTCAGTCATTTGACTCATTAAACTACTCTAAGTCCGTGAACAGTGGGTTATATGGGAAAGGAGCTCTATAGTCCCAAGCAGTCAATTATGGATGTATCTACACGAAACTACTCTTAGTCCGTGAACAATGGGTTATATGGGAAAGGAGTTCTATAGTCCCAAGCAGTCAATTATGGATGTATCTACACACCACATAGCCTTTCCACAATGGAAACCACTTATCACAGTTGGCAGATCCTGCTTTTAAGAGGTCTAAGGTTGTCATAAAAGAAATGCAGGAAATCAAGACAGAGGGACTCTGGCAGAGAGATGTTATGGGTGGTTCTCATAAGATATGGCCACACTACATTTGACACTATTCACACTACATCTAATGTAGTTCCCTTGGACTTCTTTTCACTAAGCACTCAAAGTCATCAAAATTCAATACTATAAAATAACATGAAAGCACCAATCACAGTTCTGTTGTATGAGGTAACAATATTACCCTTCTATGATAAAGAGGTCCTGTAGAAAATTGTGCATTTTGGTCACTTAACAAAATGACTAGGAAACAAAGTTTGTATTATTATATACAGCTACATTTTTCCCTTAAAATGAAAAGTTGGGCTCCTGTATTCTGAATTCTGTAACTGAGTCTTGCTGACTAGTCTTGCTAGCATATGACAGTCTTATGACTCTTATCACATGATGTCTGTCTAAATCGAATAGAACAACTTAATTTCTTTGATGATTTTATGGTGGTGAAAAGCCTTATGACTCATAAAATAAACACATTACCATAAATAGACATGAGTGATGCACTTGTATTTACACTAGGCACTATTATGTTGTTCAAACAAAAAATAGTTACATGAACTTTACATCTGGGTGGCTTCTATTTTGTATTAGTGGACAATAAAAACAGAATGTACATAAAGTTTCTTTGTGAGATTGCAGGGTTTATGTTTCAGTCGTAGCAGCAGCTATCTTGAATTGCCTCATAGACCTTGCTTTTCAGGATACAGTCAGAGTCAAAGGGTACGTCTAGACTACACGTTTCTTTCAAAAGAAGCTTTTTCAAAAGAATCTTTAGAAAGAGATCATCAAGACAGCTACAACTTTTTGGAAAAAGCGATCCACTTTTTTGAAAGAGAGCACCCAGCCAATCTGGATGCTCTCTTTCGACAAAGCCCTGTTTGCGGTCAAAAATGCCGTTTTTCAAAAGAGCTCTTTCAAAAAAAGGTGTTCTTCCTCGTAAAATGAGGTTTACGGCTGTTGAAAAAACTGGTGCATTCTTTCAATTTAATTTCGAAAGAACGTGGCGGCAGGCTAGACACACGTGAAGTTTTTTTTCGAAAAAAGGCTACTTTTTTCGAAAAACCCTGTTGTCTAGACATAGCCATACTTTATATTTCATGGTACACAGGAAATAGAAACATAGCATATATATAGCTTCACGTAGCACAAATACATGAAAAGGAATTAAGGGAAATATAATTGTGATTATATTTCAAGGTGCACAGGAAATAGAAACATAGCACGTATATAGCTTCACGTAGCACAAATACATGAAAAGGAATTAAGGGAAATATAATTGTGGGTTCCTCTGAAGCCATAAAATTTTGCATGTTTAAAACAACCACCTCATCATCACGTTCACCCACAAATGACAGATAACTCATAAAGGCAGGAATGGTAAGGGCTGGTGTTTTACTTAGTATCTTGAACTTGGTTGATAAAAGGTTTTTTTATAGACTGTTATTTTTCTAGTCACTGTAAAAAACAAAAAAAACCCCAAAACTCATAGAAAGCATAAAAATGTAGGGATGGAAGGGATGTTGAAAGATTATTAAGTCCACCCCCTGTACTGAGGCAGGACCAAGTACACCTGGACTGTCCCTAACAGATGTTTGTGTAAGCCATTCTTTAAAACCTTCAATGGTGGGGATTCCACAACCTCCCTTGACAGCCAATTCCAGAACATAACTATCCCCACAGTTAGAAGTTTTTCCTAACCTAAATCTCTCATGCTGCAGTTTAAGCCCATTAGTTCTTCTCGTATCTCCAGCAAACATTGAGAACAATTGACCACTGTCCTCTTTATAACAGACCTTGACATATTTGAAAATGCTATCACCTTCCCTCTCCCTCAGTCTTTTTTTTAAACATAGACTCATAAGTCATGTTTTTGTGTCCTTCAATTTGTCCACATCATTCTTAAAGCATGATGCCCAAAACTGGGCAGAGTACTCCATCTGAAGCCCCATGTGATGGGGCTGGCCTGCCCTGCACTGAATAGGGGGGAGGAAAGCCCGTCTATTGGGTAGAATATGCCCCCCCCCCACAGCCCTGCCA